AAAGTTATGCTTTCTTGCAGCTTCCTCCAAAATTATCTGTGGAAAAATGCAGCATAAAGCCCAAGTTAAAAAGCCTTCATTGAACCAGCCCAAATGGAAAACCTGTAAACCTGTGAGACTTGTACCCTGTCACAAAACCAAGTTAAAAATAAGGCAAACCATGAAAATAGAACTAAAAATATACTAGCTGTGGCAAAATGGAACTTTTTCAGTGTGTGCACAAGAGACTGGGGCTGTAAACAGTTAAGAAGAAAAAAGCCTTTTTGTATTTCACCTTCCTCCTAGGCTCCTGTAATCTATGCCAACATACTGAGCCTTCTAGTATTACTTTGTTAGGCAGTAGGGTGAGAATGTGACAGTAAAACAGATGACCGGACATCCCATACTAGTTGCACTTAATAGCAAAGTATTTTGTTTCAAAGACGTGTTATGATAAATCAACTCTAGGCAATGCAGAAAAGATTGCTAGCACAGATCTGGAAATAAAATGCTGATATATCTATATGAAATGCAAAGCAATGAAGAAAGAACCAGTGTTTGCCACCTACTTCAATCATTTTAATGATATTATTCAGTCAGCAAAATAACTTGAACTGTAGAGTTTTGCTTAACTGTGTATTTAACTTGTAGATTTGTTAGAAGAAGGCTATACATCAAATTTTAACAGTTCAGTTTTCACAGGTGTTTACTAAGATCACCTAAGGAGGTTCATCTTCTTGCAATTGTATGACGTAGCAAATACTTAAGCATACTTAACATTTCATGGCCATCAGAGCAAGCCTCCATGTCATATAGAACAGCAGAACTCCATACGTTTTGATGCACAAACATTAGGGCAACTCTGCTAATTTATGCTAACTCTCTTGGCCCAGAAGGAAAAGCATTGCTCTGCTGTGCCCTGACATTGGCCTGTTTCTCTGTGGAGATGATGGCTGAATTACAACTAATTATAGAGGCAATCAGGATCAGAACAGTGTAGTATAAATTGGGCCCAATTATCAAAGTAACACCCCCATTGACTTGAGAGCTGGGATCATATTAACCAAATCAAAGAGAGCACTTCACAAAGGACTTGTTCTTCTAACACACTCAGTGAACTCTCTTTTGTATAGTCAGGTGCACATCTTCTCTTCTCAGCTGCCTTATGTGACAAAGAACCTGGGCGCTTCCAAAGGCCGGCAGAGAAGGAAAATTCTCACTGTGACACTTGGTCCCTCCAACATTTTGATTCCCAGTTAAACAAAGCAATTCAGCCTGCATCCTTTTCTTACCAGCTTTGGAGATGCTCATGGCTGAGCTAGAACACTGCATTTTTTCTTTCCAGAGCCATGTATTAAGATCTATTTGCAACAGCAATATAGTTTACATATAACTAGGAAAAAGGGTATTGCATGAAGAAAAGACTAGTTTATAAGTATTTGCATGCAAATTCTAACATCTGTAGAAAATTAAATTGGGAAATATGAACACTTGCATCTGGTCACAGACAAAAACTCTAAGTGAGAAATGTGATGCAAAAAAATCTTCTCAAGCCTTACAGGCACCAAGTTTGTTATCTCCCCTCTTTTGCCAGCAGCACATGATGAAAAAATACAAAGAGTAATGACTGAGGCAAATACAGAATACTAAGAACTTACTTTATCCCGTGAGCTAACACAATATTGCAATTGTATTACAATGCAAATCAAAAACCACTACTAATATGAGGTGCAGCTAACTTGCTATCAAGTAATCCTGCTCAAGTAGAAACCCTCTTTTATCCTGTTCTGAACACATGATGTCATCACAAAAATGATTGATGCCACTAAGCAGCAGTATTGATTCAGTACCAATGAACTTGACCTAGGTATTTTTCTTGTTTGTGTCATTTGAAACAGCAAATTTTAGGGAAAATTTTTATACTACTGTTTGATTTCAAGACATACAAGAAGTACACAGATGGTATCAAAAGACACTCAGGAGAAGATTGTACATGTGCATCAAGACAGTATCAGGTCCAGGTGCTGTTAAACAAAATGAAACAATGAGAAAGCAAATACATATTATTTTTTTTTCTGAGAGGAAAAAATAGAAATGAGGAGTGAGAAAGATCTTGCTCCCTGCAGAAACATATTGATAGTTTTTGTTATTCTTCTAAAGTATTTACACGAACAGTGGGAAAATCCAAAGAATTACATCAGTATCTGAAGCAAAGGAATACACCAAGCAAGCTAAAAATCCTTTGACATGGGAAGATGCTACTTCTGCTGAGTTTTCAGAAGATGTGATTAGAGCATGCCAATGGCCAAGAATGCAGCTAATAATACTCCCTAGCAGGTGCCAAAAAGTTCAGCCTCCTAAGGGCAGGAAAGTCTGGACTCTGTGAAGGGCTATGAGGACCAAAATTTGCTCTATAAACAGCAGCAGGCACAAATTAATAATTTTCTTTCTTGTCTTTGGAAATAAAGTACTTAATGAGTTATTATGGGACATACACTTAAAATTTATACATACAGCAAAAATATTGCTTGCTCGTCAAATATAAATTTATCTTCGTATGAAAGTGTAGCACAAATTTAAACCACAAACAATACTTATTTCTTTCGAATGGACAGTCCAGCTCAGATGCAATGATTTATTCATCAATTTCAATTAACATTAGCCACTAATATTTCATTACGAGTTTAAATAAAATTTCTTTTGAAAATGTTTTTATTTCTTCTATCATCTAGAAATTTTTGTTAGACTTTCTCTTTTGAAAATATAAGCATTTTCATACAAGAATAGAAATGATGACATTTGAATCTTAAACTGATCTCAGTTATCTGTTGCAAATCTAGTTTAAAATAATCTCAGACAACATTTCAGATCCACTGAATTTTCAGAGCACTACTGAGTCAATAGTGTTCAAACTTTGCTTAAACAAGATTTCTGTAGAAGACACTTGTAACCATCCCAAATCCTGTCTTTAAAACCTAAGTGTAAACAAGGATCTAGTAACAACACTCTAGAAAACTGGTATCTGAGTTTCATGATTTATCTTCAGCAGAAAGGCTGCTAATGAACCAAGGTATATGACTCCATGAGACTGGTGACTACTCTAGGATCCTGAGGTTGCTAAAGTGTTGAAATGCTTTACTGAGCCGTAAGTGGGCTCTTACTTGCCGACACACCTCCTTTTCCTTCCTTTGTAGATAAATGCACAGAACGGGATAACAAGATCAACACAGCCAGCATAGAGGCTTAGAAAAAGTGTGTGTGTGTGTGTTGTGGGAGCGGGGGGAGGAGTTCCTGGTACACAGCCTGTCCTTGTTAACAGCCTTCCAGAAGCACACACGATGATGTCCACCTCTTGGGAACAACGAGGGCAATGGATGGGAGGTACCAGCAGACGAAGAGAAGAATGGAATAAAGAACAGCAAACTGGGTAGAAGAGAGAGGCAGATGTTGAGTTTATTAATCTTCCACGTCTTGCTTTAGAGCAAGGATCAGATCTAGGCAGAGCCTGAAACAACTCTGCAGAAAATGTGTACTTTGCAAACAGATCTGGTACCTCTGTTCCATACAAGAACTAAGAGGCATTTTAATTCCACTACATATAAACAATTAGATCTTTGTTAATGACTAAACTTGTCTTCAAGCTAGAGTGCTGTGAAACAAAGCGTTTGGTGATCTGCTTATGCTGTTTCCAGACACTTTACCCAGAATGACTGAGTGAAAGAGAAACAATGTTTTAGAAGAAACATTATTACCAATTAGTCTGCTTCAGATAATTATAGCAGAATGTGGCTCTATTTTATCAACAACAAAGTGGAAGATCAGATTTTTTCCTTATAAAGGTGAACTGCAAAATGTTTTGATAGGCAGTAAAGGGTTTTGATGCACTGCTTTAGAGCTTTACTCACATACACAAGGAGAAGTTAACACTGTTGACTATTACAGGAGGAACAGAACTTGAAATTTACTGAAACTGGTAGTTTTCTGTTTGGTAACTGCTAGAAATGTTGGGAGCTGCGCTGACCCATTTGCACCCACAGCTGACTGCTCTCCTCCCAGTTGGGAATGTGCAATCTAAATGTTATAACCAGACAGAGGAGAAAGGAACGGCAAAGGCGACAGTGGGATCTAGGCGAATTTATCGACCAAACGGTGATGCACACGCATCATTAAACCTGAAAGACAAACTGTGAAGTGAGTTTGTAACGGAGGCGGCACAGGTGGCTCAGACGATAAGCGCTGCTCTCTGTTTCCCTCGGACTATCCACGCCCGGCACCGCTCAGCCCCCGCCGTCCACATTCCCCGTCTCCCGCGGGGCGACGCGCTGCCCGCGGGACAGGCCTCCGCAGCCGCTTTCCAGGCTGGCGGCGGGACGGGGCCCCCTGTCCCCTCACGGTCCCCTCGTGGCAGCCCCTCAGCGGGAAGGGCGGGAAGCCGCCCTGCGAAGGGCCCGGCGGGGCCGCCGACGCGCCGCGCCTCTCCTTCGCACCTGAGACAAATGGTGACAGAGTGCCCTGTGCGGGGGTGAGGGGGGGGGGGGGGGCGTACAATTTTAAGCCAAATAAATTCACCGTTTCTCCCTCAAAACTTGCCAAGGCCGAAGCGCAGCGCGGTGGCCGAGGGGCCGAGCGCCGCTCCGCCCGAGGTGACTCTACAGCCGCCACCGTTCTGCCGCCCCGGCCCCTCCGCCCTGCGCTCACTCACCTCCGCCGCCGCGGCGCGGCCCGGCCGGAGCAGGGCGAGCAGCAGCAGCAGCAGCGCCGGGCGGCTGGGACCAGCCCTGCCGGCCATCCCCGCGCTCGGCGCTGCCTGCGCGGCGTCCCGCGGAGGTCGGCCCGGGGCGCTCGGACTCTGCCCCCCGCCCGCCCGCGGCTTTTGGCCTGGGGGCTGCTGCTTCGCACCCGCTTCGGCGCTCCCGGCGCCCTGGGGTGGGGACAGGGGCCGGGGCCGGCCGGGGCGGGGCCGGCCGGGCCACCCCCCTCCTCCCCTCTTGTCTCCCCCCCGCGCCTCCTGCCTCGGGCACCGCCGGCTGCCGCCGTCCGTCCGTCCTCAGCGGGCATGGAGTGAAGGAGCTGGGGGCTTTCCCGCCTGGGAGCTGAGGTGAGCGCCGCGGAGGGGCAGCCCCGGGCGGCGGTACCTGGCGCCCGTCACGGGCCGTCGCGCCTGGTCTCGGCGCCTGCCGGGGCTGCTCGCAGAGGGCTCAGCCCCGTCCTGGGACAGCCGGAGGTGTCCCGGGCTACCGGGCTGGCTCCGTCCCTCCGCCCGCTTCCTCCGCGCCGCCGTGAGGGCGCAGGTGGCGGGCGCCGCCCGAACGGCCTTGGGGCTGCGCGGAGGGAGCGGGGACGGGGACGGGGACCCGCCCGGGCCAGCCCCGGGCACCGCCCGCGCCAGGACACGGCCTGGGCCCGCCCGGAGCGCGGTCGGCTGTAGCGCCCGGGCGGGGAGAAGGGGTCGGTTAAACGGGGGCGGGAGGGAGGTGGGAGGCGGCACCGGTGCGTGCGCGAGTGAGGCGGCAGCGGGGAAGCGGGAAGGCCGGCGGCAGCCCGGGCCCGCCGCCGCGCTCCTGGGCACTGACGGCAGTGTTTTCCCTTCAGCAGCGCTGTCCTCTCCCTCGAGTGTTTTCGTAATGAGGCAGCGAAGACCGAGAACTCGCAGAAGGGACAAAGTGCTGCCCACTGCGTAAATTTAAATCAGTGAGAAATGTCTCTCCCCAGGCTTTCCACACAGCTGAGCATGATGTAGAAGTTTTCTGAATGGAGGTGTGATTTCTAAAGTGTTGGCAATGTGTAAAAGTTAGCACATTTATGTTATTGACAAAAGTACTGTATGTTCAAGGTAACATCTCAGCAAATAAAGTGCTGTTCCGAGATGGTGCAAACTTAGAAAGTGTGTTCGCCAGGCTGGCCACAGCGATCTTACCTTATCTGTAGTGTCTGTGAATGCTGTACAGGAAATCCTGCCTTACAGGTTTTCTTAAGCACTACAAGCGATACAGAGAAAAACAACATACAACAGTATAATATAGGTATATAAATCTATTCAGGACTCCTCATGAAATACAAATCTAAAGCCTTTCATGAGCATAAACCTAAGCACAGAGCTCTGTAAAACAGCTTCTCTTACAGGCATGAGAGTAGAGCTGGATCTCCATTCAGTAGACAGTCCTGTCCACCCTCTATGAAATCCAGCGTGAAAGCCAGTTAGTAGAGGCTACTTTTCCCAAAAGATTGGTGCTAGCAGCAAGAACATAACTCTGGAAGAGCAGAGCAATGTGTTCAGTATCAAAGATCTTGTACATCATCACAGATGGTATCACCTTGGCTCTGATATCTCAAGCATCAGTGAGAGCAAGCTGGTATAGAGAGAAAGGGGGAAAAAAATCCCCTGTTTTCAAGCCAGATTGATGGTGACCATGTAGAGGAAATAGTATCATAGGGATAAACCCACTAAACTGACACATTTTATTTGTCAGATTCCTAAACCTGTCAACTGTAACAGTGCTACATTTTTTACACAAGAATACTGTAATAAGGGCAAGAATGGGATCTACAGTTGTTTATAAGCCATAAGCACCTATAAATTCTAAATACCTAAATTCACCACTGAAATTTAACATTAGGAGAGCTGGTGTTAGACAGAAGGTAGCAGAGACTCATTCATACAAAAGTGAAAATGAAAGGTGCAAGGTTCTCTGAGACAATGTCAGAGCAAGCAAGACGACAGTGGAAGAGAGTGGTCAGTCTTCAGGAATTATGCAAATTTAGATGCAGAATGAACAGTATGACTCTGAGTAAAGAAGATAGTACCTAAAAGAAGAGCTCTTGAATATGGGGCCAAAGAAATATTGGAAGAAACAGAAGCAAGCAGTCAAACCAATTAATAAAGGCAGAATATCTAGTGAATGAAATACTGCTATAATAAAAAAGGTATTGAATCAGTTTTCAAATGATGAAAACCCTGTATAGAAATTTCAAAAAAAGAAGTCAGCAAGCTCAAAGCAAACATGGGGAAGTGCTAACAAGGGAGATGCAACAGAAAGACAGAACATTTAAAAAAAAAAATTGTCTTCAAGCCCAGTCGTATCCCAGTACCACCTATTTCACTGACCTTGAGCAGCTAGCTGCCAAGTATTATGGCCCAACTGGATAGAGCTTGTATGTGTTCTAGCAAGTAATGTTGCATTGTGAGATTGTCACATAAGAGCATATGTGCTTTTATGTGAGTTTCCAGGACAGATACATGACTTCAGAGTAGCATCGAGCCAGAACAAAGGTAAGATCAGCCACTGATGTTCTGTCTTGCTCATTGCTACCACAATTAATGGCATCCATCCAAAGAAAGTCTCTGAAACCTTGATGCAGACTGTGGTGTTGATACTGTTGTAGTCCATAGTATCTTCAGAGAGCTACATACTCTAAGAAACAGTCTTGTCTACCAAAACACCTGGTCAGGCAGGCTTAACATCAGTTGTGTCAAGACGTATACCTGCAGCTGCCTGTAGAAGTACTTTTTAAAACAAAACAAAACAAAACAACAACAAAAAAAAACCCAAAACAAACAAACAAACAAACCCCCCAGACTACCAGTGCACGAACAGTAGAGAGGTCAACCTTAATACTAGAATGCAATTAAAAGCTGCAACAAATTAAAGTTTGGCTTTTTCCACAATAATTGATGTTTAATTATTTTAGCTTTGATTTTGTTCTCTCAGTTCTCTATGGTAAAACAAGGATAACGGTATTTTCTCTTTTTATAGGTAAGGGATATTTTTGTGGGAAACATTTCAGTTTTATGAATTTAGTATAAAGTGCAAAGTTTCATAGGACACTGAAAGAAAAAAATAGGGCTTTAGAAGAAGGGTGAAAAGAATATGGAATATATCCATCATGAATGAGGCAGAAGTCCTATGGAAAACAGCATATATGTTCTTGTTCTTGAAATGATTGTACCAATCATACGCATAAAAGAACTACATTAAAATTGAGCACACAATCCTAATTTTGATTTCCTAACTTCTCAATCCCTGATTTTGCAACTTCAGTGATCTTGTTACACATGATGTTGGTTTCGTTGGATGTAATGAGAATATAGTTGCAGCTGCTCTAAGTTTTTATCTCAATAACTGTGGCTGTGTGTCTGCTTCAAACTATGACTTATGTCCTATGGCCTTATTTTATCAGACTCCTTTAGAATGAAATTGTCCTCCTTCTTAGTCCTTGTCAAAAAACTAAACATCTAGGTTATGTTACAGTGCCAGCTTTCCCCCTCTGGCTTTTGAGAATTTTATGAGCTGAGATTTGGTAAGGCTTGTATAAAACCTATTCCTTCGGTGATATTGAGTGTGTTATCTTGAGGATATTTCATCTTCTTTTGAATTAGGTAAGTATTCTGTTGGAGTAACTGTTGTGATTACTACAAAATATAAAACATGGGATCAACTTTATATATCAATCTAAATAACACTTTGTAGTCCTTACATTATTGCATTGGTGCTGAACCAGCCCCAGTCAGAAAATGATGGATTTTAGATAGCCACGATGAAATAGCAAGCAGAGTAGCTTAAGTCATCCACTCATGCATTAAGTATGATTTCAAACTGTGTCAATGGGTTTGATTAAAATGGATTTTAATTTGAAAATAAAAGGTTATCTACTAACAAAAAGCAAACGTACCAAATTTCAATTTCTTCTTCATTTTCAGAAGATGTCTGGATAATTCAATAATGAAATAGACAGTGGGCAATAGGAACAAATTTCTGCAAAGTCTAAAACTTTATGACTGGCTTGGACTTTCCATTTGAGGCAATCTGTCCTTGCAGTATTTTATTGCCTCACAATCTTGCTTATAGTATTTATATTATTAATGTAAAAGATTGGTGAGGTAGGAATATTACTGGAATATTATTTTTTTTATTATTAGGAGTGCTCTTCCTTTCTTTCCTTTCTTTCCTTTCTTTCCTTTCTTTGCTTTCTTTCTTTTCTTTCTTTTCTTTCTTTCCTTTCTTTACAGATGGGGAACTGGGGCACAGAAAGAAACTAAGAATTTGGCAGCTGAATGGAGTACTGCACAGTACATGTAGGGTGTGATCTTGCAGCATGGATTGGCTGCAGTTAAGCTATTCATTCATTATTCAGTACACAGTTTACAAAGTCTCTTCTTCATACTGTGGGATATGGATATACTGTGCATACACTTAGGAGTCAGTATTATTTATACATTAGTTGTGGTTAGAAAGATGTTACAATATCTAAATAATAGAAAGCAAGACAGTAATGTTTCAGGAACTGTACACTCATTCGCGTTCCAAAGAAAAGATAGATGCTTGTTGAACAGCTATCAGAGAGCAGCCAGTTTGCTGCAGGTTCACATCCTTGTTCCCTTCTCAGTAACTGACCGTCTGCTTACTCAGGAGACTTCTCCAAAGGAAGGAAACCCCCTGTCAGTTCACTCCAGTCAGCGTTCAGTCTCCTCAAAATTAACCTCCCCACATTTGGAGGACTACAGCACTAAATAAAATAAAAGCCTGTGATAATCTGTGCCACCCTAGGAAAAGCCCAGCCTCTTAAACCCTCAGTTTGAAATAACCAGTGTGAATAGTTTGCCAGATGTGCTTTATTCCAGAGGATTACAGCTTTTTTCTAATTTGGGGGATGTAAAATTTTGCACACAAGCTGGCCATTTCTCTGGATTTGTGAAGCTTGAGTTTACAAAATATTGGTGCAGCATGTTTGCACATAAAACTGCATATACACTGGGACCAAAGTCAGAGATCACAGATGCACTGTGTTGTTAATTTATGCATGCAAAATTTGACTGGGGTTGTAGAGGCCTCTGGTCAGTCTTGTGTTTAAGGCCTCCAGCTTCCTAAATCCTGGCAAAAGCTGTGGAAAAAAATGTTCTAAAAATAAAGCTAAAAAAATCTAGTCAACATTTCCAATGATTGTCATCTATCTATGTGTATGGGTAGAACTCTTGAGCTGAAAACATATACGGCTTATTCTGCATTCGGGGTATCCCTCCTTTGCTCAGATGTACAGACACTCTGTTCCAGCCCAGTTTGCAGAAGATACTACTAAGTCTGGTCTTGAAATTACAGCCAATATTTTATTGATTTTTTTTTTTTTTAAAAAGTTCATTATGTCTTTACTGTAGACAGGTGTCATATCTTTTTTTTTTTTTTTAATGCCTTTAGCTAAAAGGGTGGGTATGATAGCTTTTTAAGAAATAATGATGCAGGATACTATTTGTTCATTATTTCAGACACTGAGTGAAGACTATCTCTTTTCTAGGCTGAAATCTTGTACCCTTTTTATGTTAATATGTAATTTCATATATAGTCCCCTTGAAATAATTGGATTGATAAAATAAAATGCAGCCTGAATAGGAATAATATAATGTAGTGCCAACATAAAGTTGTGCCGTATAACGTATGTAAATGGTTAAGACATATTTTGGTGATCCAGTAATTATTAATGTTTGTACATCAGATGTATATTTTAATGTAAACAGGTTCAGAGGGGAAAACAACAACAGTATGGAGCAGTGTTTATAGATCATCCACAAACAGAATGAAAGAGAAGACCTGCTTTTTTTTTTAAAAAAAAAAAAAAAGAAGAAAGAAAGAAAAAAAGTGCTGCATATACAAATCCTCAATCAGTGTGAATGGCATTAACAAAGGATTCGTTTGAACGGATTAAGTGGCTTATCACAGCTGCCTGGTGAGTTTTACACTAGATTTTTTAACTACAGTCACTGAGATATATTCTTAGCTATTAATTTAACAGTAATAAGAAATCACCAGTTAAATCATTTGTAGCCTGGCATAAATTTGATAAATCTATATGATAATTGATTGTATTTGATTTTGATTGCTGGTCTGTAAGTTTATAGCATTTAAATTCCAGGTACTACACTATTTAAATAGTAGGAAACAGGAACAGTAATTCTGACACTATTTTAAGAGGAAAGATAGTCCTACATTCTAGTGATGAACACTATTTGGAGAATAAAAAGTAATAACCAACTTAAATCTGAATACCTGTTCCAGAATAATTTTTCAGGTGAGGGAGAATTATTAAATGTCATGAAGACAACTTTTAGGGACTATGATGGAAATACCTGCTAGCAGCTGTGGCAGGAGTTCTTTCTGGAGGAACATGATCCTTAGGAGACGATTAGGATCACCACAGCCTGGAATTTTCAGTGGTGTGTGGGATCAGTGATTCCATGTCTATAATATCTTCTAGGAAAAGTCAATCCAATTTTCCTTCTTTATAAAACCTCATGCACCAGACTCTTTAGAAATGTGAAATGATGGTTTTCTAGCTGGGAATCTGGCTCAGCAAATGTACCTTACTTGAACTTGACACCCTCACTTTTGGGCAGTCTTCTGTTGTGCTAATACACCTGAACTCTCTCCAATGTCTTTTTCATGTTTATTTGGTTTGTGCAAACCCAGGCTGCTTGTTATTCTGGTGTTCCCAAATGTAGTAGCCTTCTATCCCAGCCAGCTCTCCAAGGTAGCTCTTCTTGCCTTTTTTCTGTGTTATTTGTGAATGACTCACCTCTCGCAGTCTTGTGCTGATTTCAGTATACTGATGACATCTTCCTGGCTTCAGGAGACAGGGACTTTGAAATGACAGAGAACAATCTGGGAAATGCATTCCTGCTGTTTATGACTGGAAGAAGGGAAGACTGTAGTGTTGTGCATGAAGAACAGCACCATCAGATTTCCATTTCAGTTGTTCAAGGGCTTCATGAGAACTTGGCATTTTCTTAAATGTAAAATAACTCACACCTGGCCAATGTTGATACAGAAAAAAATATTTATAGAGACTGTCTGTAAGTTCAGAAGTTCAGAAGCAAAAGTGGTCTTAAATTAGTAGCAATAACAGAAGAAACAAATGCTATTTTCTGCTGTCTGGCTGAAGTGTTCCTGTGCAGTTATATCCCTTCTACACAAACTTATTTGATGCATTAAAGGATGAACTATCGGGATGCACAAAACCTCTTCACCATTTACTGTTGTAGCTGATCATCTGGCAGTCTCACATCTTTTAATCAGTCTTTTGTTTCACATTTAGCAAGAGACAGGATGAACTTCTGTCTTCAGCTACCACTAATTGTTTTCATAAATATTTTGTTTCTGTGAAATATGTGTTTTTGAAAAAAGGTAGCAGGCAGCATGGATTTTTAAAAGGGTATAGAGTAAATGTACATAAATGGCTAAAATATGTTAAAATTGTCAGTATTGAATTTATCAGTATATATCAGTCCATATACAGGTTATATAATTTGCAGTTTGAATCTATGAATCATGAATAATCGGGGAGAGTAACTATGGGTTTGCTGGCACAGTTCTCAGTGGTCCAAAGAGTAGGCCATGTGAATACCAAATTAAAAAGAGAAGTTGATCTCAGTAGGACTTTGGAAAATTTAATAAATGCCTAAATATTTGCAGGCTTGGAGTAATTTTGATATACAGACTTAATGACAGCTTGGAGAATAATACACAGTAGTCTATACATTATGACCATATCTGATTTATTATTTTATACCATGAGTGAGCACCTTAGTTCTCATTAATAATTAGTACTACTAATAATTAATAATAATGCTTCCTTCCTGTATCGCTGCATAATTTTGGGGGTACTTTTTTGTTTTACTTTATCCTCTTTTTTTTTTGCATGTAGAAATCATAAAAATCATGATTTGAACTTTATAATACATCACTAGCAATGGTTAGCATGGAGCTGTGCTTCCTCAGCAGCTGCTCTGACATTGTATGGCTATTTTGGATATTGCTTTGCGCCCTGCCTTCTCTCACTCTCCCTGAGCAAAAGAAAACAGCACCAGCTAACTCATTTTGGGGCAGATGCAGATCATCTCCATCTCTGCTCAGTCTTAACGCCATGGTATCTGTGGAGGTGTGGAAATCTGTCTGGAGTGGTTCCTCTCTGGCCATTCCTAATTGTGAGACTTGAAATAAGTTACAAAGGGGAAGTTACAAGGGCTTTTACATTGTCTTATTCATGCCAATTTGTTTGTACTCAGTCTCACAAATCCAAAAAGACAAATATATGTGTATCACGTGCTGACTGTTTTACTGTATAATCATCCCAAACAGGACTTAATCATGTGTACACACTTCTCACTTTTTAGAAGCTACATTTTTGTGCAGGTTGGATGTTTGAAGTTTAGTTTTAATTTAGCTTTCTTCTTCTTTTAAATCAGGTGGCTGCTGATTGTTTTTTCAGCACAAGAAACTGATGGGGTAAGTGACTGATATTTACTTTAGCCAGGTGATAGATAGGATGGTATAGTTCAAACAAGTAACCCTAGATACACCAAAATGACCTATGGTTCTGTGGGAAACCTCTGATGTTTCTTTCAGTATTTCTGCAGTTCTAACTTTCCTTTCTGTTCCTGTTGCTCAGCTTAACTAATTTGTAACTTTTTCCTTTGGTTACTTCTAAATTCTAACCTTGACATCTTTAGATGCACATAAAAAGATCTTCCTCATGCACCGAGTCTGTCTCCTTCCTTGTGAAGTCCCTTTAACGGCTCTGCATTATAACATATATCAAACTCTAGTTTTCAATCCCCTCTCTGTATATTAGCCTAGATCTTAAACTGGATCCCCTGTAAATTCCCATCTCTGAAGCCAAAATTTCACGTATAATATAGTCTCAACATCTACTTTATTTTCCTCTCTGTACTGTCCTCCATATTAATCTTACATTTGCAATGCCCTCACCGAAGCTTCTTTCAAGTCCAGCCTCTTTCTTCCTTCCAGATTTTTAAAACCTCTCTTTTTTTTTTTTTCCCTCTCAAATTCATCCCTTTTTAGTTGAACTGTTGAAAATGGAAATATTTTTAAAAGTAAATGTGTTCAATTGGAACAAAGGGTAACAGTTTACATGTTATTAGAAACTTGCATTCCATTGGAATACCAGTAGAGGCAAGTTTTTAATAACTAGGTGAGAGACTAGTGTGGAGTAGATTAGTAATTTCATGGGAAATCCAGTATGTGAAAGAGAAGCAGTCTGTGAGAGACACTATCATATCCTCTCGTTGTGAGGTTTGGGAGTACCAGATATTCTAAAAGTATTGGAAATAAAACAGAATTTTTCCTCCTTATGTAATACTTGTCAGTATCTTGTTTTCTTCTTGAAAAACTGAAGTATGAACCTATAGTGTTGTGTTGGTTATTAAAACCAATAGCAAAACAATGTTGACCTTGATAAAAACGAAATCACACTGAGCAAATACTTTTATGTTATCACTGTTTAGTTGTTTATCTAAATTATTCTTAAATCTTTTCAATCCTTGTCATCCTTTTCAAAACAACTTTGATAATTTACACAATTTTGCTGAAAAAATAATGTCACCTAGTGGACATTCCAACAATCTGAATTCATAAATATATGTGGTGTGTATTATTGGTATATGTTTAATACTACACTTTGGGAAATAGAAAAGAATAATACAATCATGCTCGCTTACCACACAATAAATCTACTGAATTTACATTTTGGTGTGTTTTAGTTTCTCCTAAAATATGCTTTTTTCCCCCCTCATTGCAATTTGATGAAACAAAGTAGTCACTTTTTTGATATTAAGAGGGCAATGACAGAAAATTTTAATATAAGAAATAAATAAATTAATGGTAGTCAATGCATAATTACGCCATGTACACACTCTTTTTTTCATTTAATATACAAGAATTAAATACAAGGCTTTATTGCTGAGTGGGCTTGTTGTTCTTCAGCCTGTTTTGCCTTTTATTATTTAATTGTAGTTAAACAATCTCCTAACCTAATGTGATGGGTTACAAATTTCACATTAAAACAAATTAAATTCTGACACTGTTACATTTTTTTTCTAGATGCAGCCTATTTCCTTAGTTGCATTTAGCTGTGTTTTTTTCATTACTTAACATAACTTGCAGGTGATGTCTTTCACCTTCTACAAGCAAAACAGTAATTAGCTTTTGCTTATTGCTTCTAGTTTGCCAGCATGTTTATGCTGATGAGAGGTCCAAGAAGGTTAGGAGGATCTTAAATGTAGTACTGATGTGTGGATTCTGTTAGGCAAGCATTGGAAAAGGTTCATATGTGTGAAGCTGAAGGTCTGCACACTGATGTTTGCTGCTATGCCAAATTTCTTCACCAGGACATTGCCATGTGGGTATGCAATGGTAGCCAAATCTTTTGCCTTAAAAATCAGCTAAATGAATAATATGTCCATTTGACAATATTTGATGAAGTGATTGTTGTCTGTTGCATATTGATAAATACATAAACTTTTAATTTTTAGGGAGGATATGCTTATATTGACCCATGTGGGGGACAGGATTGTTCAGTTTGTCGGTGCTTTCCAGAAAAAGGATCAAGAGTAAGTGATGATTAGAACTAATGATAATTACTGTTGTAAATACTGTTCATTTAGTGCACATTGCTGTTCTTAAAAACCAATATGGCTGACATAAATCAATAAATCAATATTCAGACATAAACAAGTCTGAATATAGCAAAATAGCATAATTCTCTCACTGGTATGAAGTACAACTGTCATCAAAGGAAGTTAAGACTGTAGACGAGTTTGCTTGTAAATTATGTTTGTAATAATTGTGGTGCCTTTTTTGAGTTAAGGATTCTTTGAGATCTATCTAGTAGTTAGACAAAGGTCATTCTTAATATATATTAAGTTTAGAAATCTGTGTTTTCTACTGAGAGTTGGTTAAAAGAGAATGTCTATGCCATTTACTAGTTTTATGAGAACTTAGGTGTTTCTTATTTATGTGATTCTTGAAAAGCTTGCAGACTTTTGTTTGCTTAATGCATTAAGTATAAAAAAAAATCTGAATTGTCTTTGCCTTATAAATAATTGTAAAACGTTGAATGAAGTCAAGACATTTTCATATTATATACTAAAATTAGTAAATGTGCATGTTGCTGTTTGTTAACTGAAATATGGTAGTCATGCCTAGTTTCTTATCTTGGCTATTCTTTCTCAAAATACACATCTATACAGTGATAGCAAACAATTTAAACATTCTATGAGGAAAGGATTTATTTAGATACATGCCCTGATTAGTGAACTGAAAAAACGTCAGTTAGTGATGGAAATTATTTTCTTTCGAAGTACTAATGTTAAAGTTTAGGATTAGAAAGCTTGAACATGGTGGGTCAGTTTTTAGAAGAGCTGCACACCCCATTTGTTTATGTACAACCTGAGTTGCCACACAAGCAAGACACACCTTTTCCTTCCTGTCCTTCTGCAGTTAGCTGGATGCTTTGCTGTGTCATGATCACTGCCCTGGTGTCCTTGGATCCTATCCTAATCCTCCAGGATTATGTCTATATGAAAGTCCCCCATGCTGTAGGATTTTCATAATAGGGGCCTAGGATGCGTCTATCTTTGTAACACTGTGTTAACAAAACGGCATCCCAGGAAAATTATTTTGACTAGCAGGATTGCAGTGTCTCTCAGCACTAACTGAATAGACTGTTTTGGATACCAAAAACCAGATCTGAAGTGCCATTTAAAAACGACTGACTGTAAAACTAGAGAAAATTTCCCTGATTCTGGTTCTCTCTCAATAGCCTGGAAGTTCTGAATTACATGTCCGTTATCAGTCAATAATAAATACTCACTGCAGTCATTATGGCTCTTTCCTAAGGTAAACTGAGCTATGTTTCATGCATTTGCAGCTAGTTTTTTAAGTAATTCCAAGGATCTGGACATACAGGCCAAATAAAAATGTAATAAACATTTCCCCAACAATTCAATACCATTATGTAAATGTAAATCTCAGAATTGTACCATTTTCTGATACAGCTCTGAAATACTGAGGGATGAAGTCTCTCCAATATAATATGAGTTTATATTTCATGCAACATTTCTATTAATCTATAAGCAAGAAATAGACTTACTTATCAGACCCTAACATGAAATACAGCTTAACTAAACACCACTTCAGATAGATTGTTGCAAATATTTTCTATGCTAATGTATGGTGATTAATTATTCTCCATAGGATTACTTAATCTTTTTTTTCATCCTAGAATCCCGTTGATTTCTAAACTTTGCTGTGTTCTGCCTTTACACTCTGACACACTAGTTTTGCTTTCCTAGCTTTTGTGGAGACTACCCATTACAAAATAAAAGGTTTGTTTATCTTATTGTTAGCTTCCTAGAATGCAAAACATCTGCTTTATCTACTTTTCTGCCTGAATCTTGCTCCCAGGCTAGTTCTTTGGAGTTTTGTGTCTTCCTCAATCCAGTCTTTTAAGTGCAAGAAATAAATGATCATTGCAAGCTTCTGGCACTGTATATTATGCAAGCCTAAAATTTAAGGACTGTACAGTTTATTAAATAATCCTTCCCTCTAAAGAAATTGAGCTAAGGGCAACAGTATAAATTTGGTTGCCTAGCACCATATTTTTTCCTTTTTTACTGTTTAGCACAGGCTAGCTGTCAAAATTAAGGATAAGCTGGCCTCCTCAGCAAACATTCGCTGAAAGCACGAAAAGATACTAGAAAATTCACGTACTTGCTAGCAAAAGGCAACAGAGCAGTAATCTCATCCAGACCAGCTGGAAAGCCAACCTTATAGCAGCCCTCAGAGCTAACAAGTCTTCATTGAGCTCTGTTAAACCAACTGCAGTATCAGGGGCTTTTGCAGAGGCTGAATGAGAAAGGCAGCATCTGAGTGAGCTACATCAGTATGCGTATTGAGTTACATTGAGTTACACAGACCAGTCCACCTATTTTTTATTTTTATTTTTTTTTATTTTTTTAACCTCTTTTACCACAGGGAGTCAGATGTAGGATATTCCCTTCATGATCTTCCATTGAACATGGTAATCTAAGAATTACAGGGGAGCAAGGGCAAATTGTCTCATTATTGTACTGCTAAGGTATCATCTGTGTTAGAAACACACAAGGCCAGACCTATTATGAATTGATTAAACGTTTTATTCAAACTCTTCCAAGAACTGCAACCAAATCCTTCATTAGACTAGCTGGAACATGACCATTCGTATGTTATTCTGAATCTTTGTTGTCTGAAAACTTCAAAATAGAGTTCCAGTTTCAATGGAAAGTTTCTGTCAATTTTTATCTCCCCTAAAAAAATGCACTGAGGAAGAAGCTATTTAGGAAAGCTGCTCATTGTATCTTAATGTAGACTTTGTGCTAGATAGATGTCATAGGTCCAATTTACAAGTTAGTTTAACATCTGAATAAGAGCCCAACCAGTTTGGTTCGCAAATTGCTCATAGTCACTTCTCTACATCCTTTTCCACACACTATTGAAAAGGAGATTTTTAGAGAACTCCGAAAATCTATCTGCTGATAAAACGGCAGTTGTATGGTTTCAAAGTTAAGGTGTGCCCATCTGATAAGGGTTTCACTTTTTCAGCAGACTGTGAGGAAAATACTGTTGCTAGTTTCATTTGAGGGATTCTTGTTTACACTATGACAGGTATTTGATGACATTGACATTTTACAGATATTAGACTGTTACCTTCCTTTTTAGACTTCCAGTGGAAGCACTGCCCACTGGAAATTTAGCTAGTAAAGTGAACAAACAGGTTATTTCTGTTTGGAGCAGACTTACAGTCCTTCCATAACAAAGATTGCTACTGAAATTAAGGTAGAACTGAAGTCTTAGAGCTGAAATAAATTAGCTCTGTTTACCTGTAATTACCAGTGACAAGTGAAGTGTGTTCACATTTTACACACCTAAAAACACTGTAAGCTGCATATGACATAACTGTAGCCCTTATCTGTAATGTCTCTCTACTAAAATAGTAAAAAAATATGATAATAAGAGAACAGACGCTTAAACTCCTAAATATATTTAGGTTTATGAGTCAAGTAGAATGGCTATCAGGAGCATAGTATGCTCTGAAGTTTCCACAGGAAAGTAGGACCTCAAATCTTGCCCTGCTATCTTTGACATAATGACCTTCCTTTCTACCCATTTTGTTGAATGCAGTTTAAGTATGATTAGTTAAAGCTGTGGTTACCAGGACAGTCTAAGTAAACTGTGCAGCTGACTGTGAATGCAATGGGAATTAAGACTTTGCCTTCTAGTTGCCCATTTGAAAATCTTTTAAATGTCAATGTAGAAAGCCTTCTTCACTGTAAATGGACAAGATAATTGAGCTTTTTAGCTAGAGACAAGATGACCATGGGAGTAAGAAAAGGAAATTGCTGTGGCCATACTTGAATGTATTGAAATTGGGCAAGTTGGAAGAAGAGTAGAAGCAAATAGGTGAACTTCTATTTAATGTTTACATAAAAGCAGTATACTTATGCATTAGTTGCTATACTGGGTTTTAGAACTTGTGTACTTGCTGGTTTTTATTTCTCTCAACCTTAGATAACTGCACTATAAACAGATTTGCACTACTATTCATTAGCAAGCAATCACTGTCTGAAAAACATTCTAGTCACTGTTGCTGGTACTATATCCCATTCTGATATCATGACAGCTGTCCACATCACAATGAAAGTTCAACTTCTGTTTAATTGGGATTACAGCCTTGTTGGAATTCGTTTTCTATTATACTGTTTATCTCTTGATCTCATGTCACAACTCAAAAGGACTCTTTCTTCCATTGGACATCACTAAAATGTGCTGTTGAATCTCTTTGTGTATACTGTATGCTCCTATACATATTAATTTAAGAACAATAGAACAGATAATGGAGGAGAAAAAGTCATCAATAAAAGTATATATGCCAGTAAACGTTCTACATGAATTTTAGTGCCAGCCTAGAACAACTGAGACTTTCTCCTGCCTCTTCTTACCCAGGCAAGATGTACAGTCTTCCTGTAGGAAGTAGCAGTTAATGCTTTTAATTAGAGGCAAATAGCAATTTAATTGTTTTAGATTTTTTTCCCCCTCTTCCTCTTTGGTCTCCCATAAAGTCTGTGATTTTAATTTTCTCCTGATATGTCTAACAGAGAGTGAAACCTTTTCTCCATTTCCTACTCCTTTGCTAACTTGGGAAGTCATTTCCTTGATAACTTCTGCAGTGTTTTATCAGAGGCCTCCAAAAATGCTGGCTGCTCTGACAGAATTTGGATAGTAAAAAAAATGTCTGCAGTTAGCAGTGACCAATTGTAAACCTGTCCTGTGCCGACCCCGGAGTTTGATCCCATTCAATTCCTTTGGCTTTGTTTATAGAGTTAAGTAGATTTAGAAAGCAAACGTCTATTCATGACCCAACCTGATCTAGCTTCAGTGAGATCACGTGAACTGCCTGGAGCAAAGAGAATAATAAATATAACTCAGCAAGACCGATGTTCGTTCTTTTGCAGATGAAGTGAGTGGCCTATTTTCAAACTAGTGTAGGAGAGAACCTAGCAAACAGAACTCT